TACTACTAAGCATATCCTCTCGGGTTTCGAATTTGTGGTATTGCGCATCCTGTTTATCGGGGTCACGCCGAAATTCCAGTTCTATATATTGCTTGAATGGACTGTATGCATCTGAAACGCAAAGTGCATTTTTCGATGCCACACACCATTAGACTAGCCAGTACTAGCGCCGCAGAGCTAGAGGGAGTTGCTGTGTAAACAGACAGCCTTTTTAAACGAGGATAAAATAGACTGTCGGGAGACACACCCCTTTGATGCCTCATGAAGGTCTATTTTGCATTCTTGGGTCGATTCTACCAGTCGTAAAATTGGAGCTGCGTGGGAGTGTGCATGCGTCGCTGCGCAGTGTAATGAGTGTCCTCTATCTTGGGGAAGGCCTGATTCAGGTGCGTAGAAGAGGTATCTGGTTGCTCACGTCGTGGGGTAGCCACTATTGCAGCTGCAGAGAACTCCACACAAGAGCACACCCAAACCCCCTGAGATGCATGCACAAACGAAGTAGGCACGCCTTATTTCACTTCCTTTGCATCCCGTAACTAGGCAGCGTCTAAGTAGAAACACACGTACCAACTTCAGCGAGCATGTGCTGTAAAACCCGCCTGAGAGTAGTAGCTATCCGGGCATTGTGTCGATATGCGCCGTGTGCAGCCTTCATGCGCATCAAGAAAAATATGTTTTGGCAGTTCAGTCTTGAACAGAAGCGTATCAGAAGCCTGCTTGGAGGGATGAGGGCTGTAGCCGTTCCTCGGGAATGCAATTGATCACTGTAATCTCAGGCACTCTATGGTAACTCTGAGGAGACGTTGAATTCCGTCTCTCCATGAGGGAACTATCAGGCACAGAAAGCAATAGGAGCAGGCGGTTGTAGGATGAGCATACCTTTCCAACCTTTGCTGTACAAGCCTGCGTGCGTAGCAGTTCTCACTGTTCAGGCTGCCCAGCGCCTTTTGGATACCCAAGCTTAGGCGCCTATTGGGAGGGGACGTTGCTCACATGAAATTGTAAGGTACTTTAGAGTGCTTCGGTGTTTGCACATTCGAAGTCGTTCAGGTTTTGGAACCAACCCTAGCGATGTTCAGCGGCAGACCATCGTTGCGTACTATGTTGCACAGTCATTGGGCCTGTCAATTGAGTAGGGCGACAGGAGAAAGCTGGCAAGATATGTTTAAGCCACAAGTCTGGCAGCAAAAGTGAAGTAAAGTGGCAGAACTCCTGGGGTTAGGCTGGTGGGTAGCCCTACGCTTGTCTGCAGAGAAGTAACCAGAAGCTTGGCTGATGTAGTGTCACCAGACAGACGCCACCCACCTACAAACTGTATCCATAGAGTCTTGCTCGTTCAAGCGCTGAATCATTGCAGCGGTCGGTGAAGCCCCATGCTCACCAGGTATGCTGTGTTCCCTATTCGGGAAGTTACAGGGCCACGGGCTAGCCACAGGCAGGTTTCAGCCAGTAGTACTTGAACACTCACTGAATCATACAGTAGAGCTCCTGCGCGAGATGCTCAGCATATTGACAGTGCAAGTCAACTGTTCAGCCGGCACCTTCTTTACACGCTTGTGCCGCTTCCCACACTCACTGAACATTCTACCTGCACCATGCATTGAAGAGCCAACTATACCCCTGTGTTTCCTGTCCGAATTAATGAATCTATGAGCAGCTTCCCAGGGACGAAGGTATGGGCAAATACACTCGTCACTCCGCGGCTTGGTCACCGCTTTGAGACGGCGACTCGCTACCCTGCCACTGTTCCCTAGTGTTAATGGGAAGCGCAGCCCCTGAATTCGCAGGCATTTGCTGGACAAGAGCCACCTGCTCCTGTACAACTGCACTTGGTACAAGAACTGGGAGGGCCCCTGTTGGAGCTGTGAATGGAAGCACTTGCCCGAAAGCAGCACTTTCCTGTCTATCAAACATGCTGTAGGCTGGCGAAGGGCCATGAAAAACCGCCGGCGATGGGCCAGTCCCACTCAAGTGACCCTGGGGAACGAAGTGCTGAACAAAAGGGGCATCACCTGCGGGGTACGTAAAGGAAACGCCTGTTCCCGTTGGTGCAATAAACTGCCAATCAGAGTTTGGCGGTACTTCATAAACCCAAGGGTGAACACGTTGCCAATGAAATGCGTCAGAATCAGCCTGGTCGTCTTCGACAATCCAGACATCCTCTTCCACAGCTGGTTGTGGCGCATCTCCCAAGCTCCACGGTTCCGAGACTTCTTGCTGAGGTACGTGTCCGTGTTGCGACTCTAAAAGCATCGAGGGGGTGTGGCACTCTGGGACTAAAGACGCGCCAGTATGCGTGAAGTCAGATGGATAATTAGCTGCATTCATACCACCTTGCCATGGGCGTAGCACCCCTGCAGGGGCTTCTGCGGGGAAACCACGCGGTGACGGCAAAAGGCCACCAGCTTTTTTTACTGCATCGACAAGGCTCTGTATTATCTTTTGGGAAGATGGCAATTTACCTCCCTCATGCTTGAGCTGGTGCAAACTGAAAATGCACCACACGCCCACGTTACGCTGCCAATTGCTGATGTGGCTTCGAATCACTCTGTCCTTAACAATAACTCTCGCATGAATATCGAACAATGCATCCAAAATGCCAAGCTGTTGGTCCACCAAGTCTGCCGGCAGCGCTCGACTTGAGACAATTGCGTGCTGCAACAGTCCCATCAGAATATCCACAGAAAAACCAACGACAAGGATACTGGCTCTCACGAGAACAGACAACTTGACTTGTAGGAGTCTACTAGACGTTTTTAAATGCCTCATCGAGGGCTGCTTGATGCCTGAGATCAGCCCTGCCAGCGAGTGGAGTTCTTGGCATATGTTCCGCTGATTGCTATCGTGACTGCCGTTGTCGAGAGATACGGAAGCCAAATAGAGAAGAGCCTCCCCTGCCCGCTGGCGGAGATGCTCAAATGAAACGGGAACAATTGCAAGAGCTCCCAACTGTAGTGCAAAAACACGCAACACCTTGAACGCGAGTCGCAGACCTTGGTCAGCCGTCAGCATAGGTAGAAGCGAAATGCAAGAACAAGAAGCAGTCTCTATACTCATAAATATATTTACTACTTGCAGTCGAAGCTGTCGGCTTAGCCCCTGCTCTGTCCATCCATTACTACTCTCCCCCGTTTTTTCACGCATCTCGCTTTCAGATATATGGTCTTCTCCACCCACCCTCACCTCTGTACTCGTCAAACTTTGAGAGGCCCCTGCGTTTGGCGTGCGTTCTCGTATAGCGAGACGCGTTGGGGCCCTATCCCCCGCAGGCACCCCTGCAAACAGTTGCGATTGAATAAGGCCGCCTTGCCCTGTATCCTCTCCTTCCTGAACGCCACGTACGGATTTGCATGGCTCATCATCCTCCTTCTCAGCAAGTAATCTTGCAGGTGAACCTTCATCATATCTGGGGGTTTGCAAGTGGAAGCAACGTAGCAGGAGGTAGACGACTGCCAAAGACGTAATCGTGAACATTAATCCATACATACGAAGCTGATGTGATGATTTTCCTTTGGGCGTAAAGTGCCTCCATCCTCTTAACGTGTGTACTCCCTCGAGTGGCCCTCTGAACGTCCCCGTACGGGCGGTGCCAAAGGACTTCACAGAGTCCTCTGAGGCAAGGCCAGCAAATCTGTTCATTAAAGCTACTTGACAAACAACTTGTGCATGCTTCCCATATCAGTGTTTAGGCGAATGACGTCGTGTGCTGCTATCCTTTATCGCGACGACGCCACAAAAAAACGCACGCAATGCCAAAGCAGGCACCCTCTTTGTATCACCGCCACGACCGAGAAAGAATACTTTTCTTACTCTTGAAAAGACGGAGGAAGGTTGCGGATCCTACATTCAGCCCTCTTAATAATAGTAAAGATCGCGATGGGTAACTGGCCACAAGACAGCGTGCAAGCGTGCATACAAATGTGCCCTCCGTCTGTTGCTGGCCATCCGTTTAAAATGGCCAAAATGCAAATAAATGCTCAGCACTCTAACCAGATAAATAATTGCGATGAGTGGCCGATATCAAAGAACAACTCCAGTCTACAAACGCTCTAGTTACTGGTGCGTCGCCGCCAGAGTGTTGCAGAGGATCGTTCCGCTGAAGACAAAGAACAGCAATACTGGAGAACTGCTTAGTTCCCAATTTATCATTCATAACATTCATAAATGTTTAGAGTTCTTGAACTGGGATTTCTTATTTGCTCTAGAGGATTGCCGCCGTCATCATGGTTGGAAGCCAGTGGTGTCACCTACTCCGAAACACTCACAACACGAGTTTTTCGGCATGGAGACAGATGGGCTGATAACGTATGCTTCAGCAGCTAAAACCCGTACGCATGCTTCACAATGAGATATAATGTAGAAGATCTACACAGATAGGACGATTTGGAGAAGTGATCCATGGTCAGACAACTTGGCAGCAGAATCGAGTCCACACGAATTGATGGAGCACACGGCGAAATAAGGGCTCAGCAATGATCACCACCTACAGATAATAGTTGAATGGTTTACAGACCTCCACATACATCCTCATATATCGCTTAAGTAGCAACAGGATTAGTCTGCCCACTCCACTCCCGCGACATGCCTCCATAGAGATGAACACAGTAAAAGATCGGTGAACGCCACTCCGACTCATGCTGCTCTAATCGCTTACCTACCAGGGTTATGATACGGAGGCAAGGAAGGGATCCATCGTCCTTCGCTTCTCAAACGTCTGATCAAGATGGGTTCTGCTTTGTCCAGCCATTTCCCGTAAGGAGCACACGAACGTATTTGCCCTGAAGGCCTTGTTCGTCTGCATCCAAAAGGCCAATATTGTGCCGACCTACTTCGACTGAATAGTACCAGGGAGGCGCTGAAACAGATTAAATTGCGGAGATTGCGCTGTCCAAGTGGCTCGCGAGCGACGCACTAGCTTGCGAGCCACTCGAACGTTGACAATGATCCAGCGAAAGCACGCAAAACAGTGGACACTATATCTCCCACAGGTTTGTTTTATACCCATGTGTTTAATCTTAAATTCGGAAGGTCTTTGGGGAGAATGCCACGCGTATGCCGCGCGGGTCACATAAGAGGTAATCCATTAACACGGAAAAACATCATCTACAACTGCTGTTGTCACTTTCCTCAAAGTGGACCTACGCGATTCATGCCTCTATCTAAGCAGAAACATTCTTTCCGGAGAGCAGTGGAGGTATGGTGGCTTCATACTGTGGTCTCATGCCTACGTCTGTCCCCAGATCAACCGGATCATGTGGCATAGAATTTAGACTTAGTGAATGAAAGCCACCGGTTGGATGGTAGACTGAGTATTATCATTATCCCCTGATAAACAAAAACACGTCCAGTATATGCAGAAACGTGCAGGACCCGGAACGTGCATGCTTGCCACCGATGGGCCTTGTGAAAACCGTATTTTTGCCAGGTTCAATCTATTTGGTACCAGAATAACAGCAGAATGGGACACAATTGACGATCGAGTACTAGCTGGTATTCCGTAGCAATGAGCTGCACTGGCCGGCCAGCCGCTGGACGTCCAATGAACAGGATATAAACTCGGAGCGTGTCGGAAAGTTGCCACAGTCCATGTGTGAGCCCAAAATGTGTTTGCCCCAAAAGTAGGAGCGCTGGTTACATATAGCCACCACTGTCGTTCGTCTCCTCGTAGCAAAGATACCAATAGCAGCTCTAACCCTTCTAATGCTTGCTGGAGACAACAAACACCTCCAGAGGGGCACGAAACCCTCCACTGCCTCAGCATCGAGGCAATTGTCGTATCTCGATGGAGGCAACAGTGGAGGCATGCTTCATGAATTGCTTTTGCCGTGTAGAGATCTTCCGTTCGCACGTATGCAGAAATTGCACCTGGTTCCTGAGGACGACTCTCCGAACTTGCGAACGTCCCTTCTTAGCCTTCCCACCGGAGAGCAAATACTCATTATTGTCCATTGTCCTACGACAAAGTTGTTGTATATACATATACTGTTTGAACCATCATCGATACTTCCCACAGCATGGGAGTAACCAAATTGTGGAGTTGAGATGCGCTGCTGCCGCCTGCCCGCGTGATCTATGCGGTGCAAAGTAACACACAAGCCATGGGTATTACCCAAGGACCCCTGACTTTAGCCGAGTTCACAGTGAAAGAGTTTCAAGCGAAGGGGTTCCCTACTCAGTATCCTGGGAGAGGAGGCGGCCAGCCATGAGTTGCTACTCACGTTGCTGGAGTTGATGCGGGAAGACATTACATGCAAGCACATGCGGGTCCCCTTTTCTGCATGTACTAACACTATGGACAATTTCTGGAGTGTCTGGCTTGGCGCAAGCTGACCACTTAATAGGTTCAGGATGCGTACTCATGCCAAGTAGCTGTACATAGGCCAACTGCAGCCAGAAGGCTCTACACTGGCAGCTGCATAACACAACCTGTCAACCCTTTTCACAGAAGTCACGGCTATTGCATTTGTTCTACGGTACGCCAACAGTAAATTTTAACTGCTCCCAAGCTTTCGTTAGTTTCCGTGTAAGAGCTACATGAGAGCGAGGAATGGGGCGAAACCTCAGATACGTGGTGTTAGGGCATGAGCATACAGAGTTGCCGCTTCCCCTCACTACATAAAAATGAAATAAATTCCAACGGTTATCAGAGTCAGTGTACCGAGGTTCTTCTTCCAGGAGGACAAGCTCGAATAAGTCCCCAACACAGCACTCAGGCAGTGCTGCAAGTGCCCTTTATGTACAGAAGCAGGAACCCCCCAGGTAAGCCAGTTGGTTCTCTCCCCAGTGGTAAGATGCTGTGTAAGTTCTACCGCCTTGTTCTACCTTTGTTGATGCAGCAGGACGATGGTGTGGGAGCAGCTTCCTTGACAGCAGCGGCGAGTATATGACGAACCTGTGGACCACCTACAGGACGACTACACAGTGTATAGGTCTTCCCTTTCGAATCCCTTCGAATTACCATAAATATGAAATCATCATCATTCTTAGCACTAGGAAGCCTACTCAACGGACCCGCGTCGAGGTGGCTGCGCGGCATACACTTCCTTGCGAGCGACCGCTGGTCCATGCCTCACTTATTGGCCTTGCTCTGCGCCCCACCTTCGATAGTCTGCTTTCTTGCGTCTCTTCATTTGTGTTTCCTAAAGAAGTTTTTGTATTCTCTTGTTTGGGAAGCCACTACTCTACCACTCTCGTTGTCGTTGCTCTGTGCGAACAAACGCTTGTTTCCACGATGTCGTACAATCCCACTTATGGTGGCCAATTTCAAGGGCTCTATGGTAAGTAGAAAGTGCTCCGACCAAGATTTGCCAGTTGATGGCAATGCTTGACACTTGCGTGGGTGGAAGAGTCATGTGCGGATACTGTCTTCTGATAAGAACTGTTAATCCCTCACCTGCAACTCAACAGCTGCATGAATATCCGTCGCTGTTTGCATCCGTTTGATTGCTTGTACGCTCCCACACTTACGCAACTACCCTTATGCGTTTTGTTTTTATTGCAATTTCATACGTGCGCTTGCAAACTTCAGCGCGCCACTAGACACGTGCCAAATCCCGAGTATCTTTGAATTGTTTCGCAGCAACCTCGCAGAAGACCACAGGATCTGGAGGCACTTCTAAGGGACCTGGAAAAGCAACAGGATCTGTGCCTGGTGGGGCTGGCGGGATACCAGGGTCACCTACGGGCAGCGGTGCAAATACTGAACCGGGCGATAAGGTTATTGTAACGATTGGTGGCCTAAAGTGAGCAGTTACTCTAGCAGCCAAAAGCTACAAACACACAGCTGTCCGCCGGAATGAAACATTGGCATATATCTTTCATTCATGTAATGGCGTTGTGTTGTTAGCTAGATATGCTAGTTGGCGCAAACAGTCTAATGTGTTGTGGCAGCAGCAGAAGGCCTTAACTCCTAAGGAGAAGAGCACAGGTAGCAGGAACATACGACGAAACGGTGGTTGCTTTCAATTATAAGCTCTGTGCCTACACAGCGTGCAGGCCACACAATGTAGGTGAGTGGTGCCACCTACTGGGTTGCTGCTGCGTTTTCCCTTCTGCCGCTACGCTGTCCCTCATAGGCATGTAAAGCTAGATGAGGTTAAAGATGATGATGAGCGGTACTTTATCACGGTTGGACTTTTCGAAGGCGATAACCTGAACGAAGTATGTAATCGTTCAAATGCTGGATTTGTGTCCAAGGCCTAGAATCACGGCGGTACCAATTATTACAGTACCTACCTGTAATTCATGCCTAGCAGTTCGCCTGACAAGTGTCAGAGCAACGGATGACGTAGTTAGACTTGTAGCAGGTACCTGTACCAAGACAACTGCATACTTTGGGAACAGTGGGTATGGAGCGGAAAACGCGTTGTTATGGGTTCGTTTATGTTCAGGTTGTGAACCACAAGCGGAACCGGACAAAACCCGTGAAGGGTCAACGCATTGGGGAAAATTACCTCTGTGCCTTCTCTGGGGAAAAGATAGTTCTGCCGATATCAGACCCATCGAAGCGGTTTTTGCTGTACATCTGTGTTGTGACAATAACTAAGGGAACAGACGATCAGGGCAAGACATTTAAGGACATATCATTAATGGGCATCGGGTTCTCACAGGCATTTGAAGTCAACGTGTGCAAGGTATATTCAACGGCCTTTCAGGTTGTTGGCGGCAGGCGGCCTTGTTCCAGGATGCGGCCTCTGAAGGCAAGGGGAGGGTTTTCACCTGTTTTTATGGACTGCGTTGGGGATTGATGTTCGTGTTATTTTCTGGAGTAGGTGCGATGTGCCTGTGCCACAGAAGTATCAACATACCACAGCGGAGCTGCGCCTTGTTGAGGGAGGTGACCCTAGCATAAACCCGGGTGCGTATGCTCTTACCTCTGTAGTTAACATCCGCAGATACATCTTTCGTGGCGGTGAAATCGCTTCACTCTGGTGCGATTAGGTGTCTTGATATTTAGGAAAGATTGACGTGGCGATAGAAGTTTGTAAGAAGGACAAAGGAGAGGCCGTTCCAGAAGACCAGGAGGAGAAGTGAGTGTACTTAACTACTCCGACGGGTGTCCGCGGAAGCCTTATATAGAAACACAGATGTACATTGGCCTCATACGGCACAACACATCCCGTGAGAACACGCGATGTATGGATATAGGTTATATGAACCGCAGCTTATTGTGCAGGAACGTGCTTGATTCCTCATATGTGTTTTCAACATTTCCCATGTGGCTTTTGCATCGCATTTGTAATTTTGGGCGTTTGGTGTATGCAGCATCATGGCCCAATTCCAGGCCTAAGGACACTTTTCGCATCAAGACAGAAGCTCTTTCTTATGGTGGAGGCAGCGTCGAGGCGCTATCTGTATTCTGAGGGCGAGAGCTCTATTTTTCAGTGTATTTTGTTCGCTTGCAGTGTACGATGAGGATAGTTGTAAATAGAGAGTCAAATTTCAGCGTACAACTGCAAGCGTGGTGCGCATTGTGATTTTTTCATAATCGGTGATAGACTGGCAGCGCAGACGTAATTAAGCAAATAAAAGCTTCGTATTGCAGTAGGTGCTACGAAGTTAGAATTTCCAGCCAAGTAGTGAATGGCATGCATACGGGCCGATCCACCCTTCGACACGGGCAGCCCTACGAAATGATGCAAGCATATAGGAGGGAACCAGTAGAGAGTGGAATGCAAAGAACATATGCTAGTAAAGCTACACCACACAATAGAATGCAGGAGGTTAGTGCGGCCCAGGTACTATAATAGTATCAGCACGAGTGAAGTGGATGGAGAGGTGTAAATTATGGACATGACCTATGAGTGGAGCATATGAAGAGGTCTAAATTATAAAAGAACCAGCAGCCTGTATCCGGCTGATAATATAAAATTGCTGGGGTTCAGATATCATCAACAGGTTGGCGCAGCGTGTGTGCAATATAACGATAGGCTCAGGCATATTACCTCTATACAGTGGGCTTGCTACTTACGAAACGCCGTCGCTCCCAGCTCGAAGGCGGCGAACACTTGGTTTTATGAGTTATTTCATATTGTCGTGTTGAACTCTCAATTCGTGCAGAATTGTATGTACTGACTTGTCTGGGGATAGGCACTTAGGCAAAAGTAAGACCAGGTGGGTGCCGTGTTCAGTAGCAGATACCGTTAGCTGCCCAACTCAGTTGGATCTTCTGGTGGAACTCCGTAGCAATTTACAGACTCGTGGAGACGGTTGGCTCAATCTCATTGCCAGCCATAGGGTTGGTGTTTGTGACTACCCGCATTACCTTTTTAGCCCGTGCTTCGAGGTTGGAGCTCAACTCAAAAGCCGCTTTTCAGAATTTTCGGTGAACCCATGCGACGAATGACAGCATTGCTAGGCTTCCCATTGAAGTAGCAGTGGAGTATTGGAGTACATCCCTGACGAAATACGTTATGGGGTGCTGCATTCAAGAAGGGAATGCTGACTACGTGTTTTTAGGGACTCTGCAGTTTGGAGGGTTTCTTGTCATATTTAATAGCTACTATTTTATTATCTGTAACGTGCAATACAATTGTATGGAGCATTACTGCAGTTCTATTTACTCCCCTCTGCATTTAGATAAAATGCCTAGACTTCTTGAGAATGTAGTGTTTATAATGTCCTACGGAGTTGTCCACTAGCCTTTCCTGGGTACACGTGCTGCTACAATCGTCGAGACGGAAGGAAGGCCGCCCTTCAGTGACACCTTCGGAGCTCTTCGTTGCTCCGTAAGCGGTATGCAATGTCAGATGCCATTTGGGTCTGTACTGGTGACTTGAGTGTCTGCCTTGGAGAGTTATAGGGGGAGACTTGTGAGGGCAGTAATACCAAAATTCCAAGCGTGACAGTCTGCGGCTCACGTAGTGCTCCTTTCTACAACTGAGTTACGTACCAATGGTTCGAACCGCCTGGAGGCCACTTATGTTCACGGATGGTCTTGTGGTGGTGATTCGGTAGAAGAATATGGTTGTGAGAGGTATGTATAACAGCTGCTTTGAAAACTTTTGTAGCTTGTGGGTAAACGTAGCAAGAAGTGCTCCCCTACCCCTGTAAGATAGCCCATTTCATTGCCATAGTATGTCTTCTTCCTTGTGGCAAGTCGAGCGTACCCATTCTCATTCATTATCACAAATAGCTCGAACAATATAAAAATGAAAATATTTGACCAACAGAGAACTCTTCAGGAACAAAACTAACGCACTACAGGGCCAACGTTTTAATAGCAGCACCGACTAATCATCGTCTGTCGCTGGGAGGGTGGCCATTGCAATCCACTCCAGCCCTAGCTATCACATTACCCTTTTTACCCCCGAGGAGTGTTTTTTTCTGCCTCCTTCCAGTTGTGCATTAACTCGTGGATATATAGGGACGAACGTGGCTAGTTCGTCCCACCTGACCTCAGGGCTTGCTCAGCTCACATCTCCGGTTTGCATCGTTGGATACAGCGCACGCAATTCCTCCTTTGAATGTTAGAACACAAACGGAGGAGGTGTGCACGTGCCCTCCATCTAAAGCGCTGCATCCCCTCGGTGCTGCGACTCTCCAATTAGGTGGTGGTGCTGCTTGATTGAATGTGATTATCCCGTTGCTCTGTTTCTTGTGCATTCGTGTTGGGGAGTATCTCCTTATCAGTTAAGAGCATTTTGTCTCTCAAATGAAGGGCTACTTTTGCAGGCCCAAGTTTTGTCGCACATGTGTCCAGCTCAATTGGGTTGCGCGAGGCATTCATCTTAGTTTGACGCGTGGTTACTGGCATATATGCAAGCTATAATCAACTACCCTACAACGTTTGTAGCGCCTGAGTAGTGCAGGGTGTGTGTAGCTGTTCCTGGGACTGATCATAAAAGTTGCTTCTCACGGCAGCAGCAAGAAGCAGCTGCAGCTATAGGGCCCCAATAGTGTGAAAAAGGTGGGCCCTCAGTAGGGGCCCACCTTTTCCACAGAAATTGCTTCAGGCTATGAAGAAGCTTCTCACACTTGACATGGTCGTCAAGCTACTCTCAAGTGCTTCATGAAGGTAATACTGGCAGGGATTGGTGTGGGAAGGAACTGGAACATACTCTGAAGGAGACGCGGTGCGTTAGAACACAAGGGACAGTACAAGCAGCAACCGTCATAATGCTGCCCAGACCTTCCGTTTGCTGGCATGTCTGCAAAATCGTCAAAGAGGAAGGCCTATCACCATGCCCACCACCAGATCCAACAGCAGCATCTTATGGTGGCTCGCAAGCCGCTGGGGCATTACCAGGCCTGCGAAAAGTAGAAGCACCAATTGCAGGCCCACAGGTCTTCTCAAAGCTTGTGCGAGCAATGGGTGTTTTGGTCCCGCTATCAGAACGATTTTCAGCAGGAGGTGAAGAGACCTCATCTGGAACAGCTACCGTACACTCAACGGCAGCAACAGCAGCAGCTGTATCCAAGACATCAAAGATTTCGTGGAGTCATGCGGGAGCTATTTCGTGGTCTCGTGTACCTGGCTTCTGCGGGTTCTGTCGGGCCCCCACTTCCTGCTGGTCGTGCCCTACTGGTGATCCGCCATGGCTTCCACTAAGCCCTCAACCCCGTGTACATCTGAGGTTGCTGTGGGACTTTTATGCTGCTTCCCTCCCTACGAGCTGCTCATCGATGCAGGAGGCCATTCGGATGGATAATATTTTCGCGTTAAGGGCCGAGGCAGCCCTGCTGTCGCTTATATCAAGGGCCTTGGGCTTCACCAGCCTTTCTCAATCATCCTTACGAGTGGCTGAAATTTGCGATATCAACGATGCAGGGGAGCCAAACCCAGCTTGGGGGCGAAACCATCCTTTGGCGGGGGCAAAGTGGACTCATCTCTTCTGTCTTGACACGAGCGCAGCAAAATTGGTGGTACAAGAACAACAGCACAAGAGGCAGCACCAGCAACAGCAACAAAAGATTGGCTCCAGACACAGCAATCACTGCAGAACCAGTGTAGAGCTCGGTGGCGAGCAGCTGCATGAAGACACTTACATGGGTGAGGGAGCTTCAGTTTCTCAGTGCCGAACACCTGTGGCAGGTGCTAGATGCGTCAGCAGCAGCAGCGAGGTCCTCGACACGCTAGTATCTGCGGAAAGGCCAGCTGACTCAGAAGTGCCAGCAGAGATAATACGAGCAGCAGGAGCAGTGAACTCTCCTTTCGCAATGGCCTGCAGCAAACAGGCATTGGAAAGGCTTGCTGCGGTGACTCCACATCAGCGTACGCAGCAGCGGCACTGCTGTTCTGCAAAGCAAAACGCAAGCTGGAGAGGGCAAGACCAGCTGACGAAGGAGCAGCAACAAACGTATCCCCTTTCGAGACAGCCGCCTCGCCAACAGCAGGTGCAATGGCAGTGCCTTTCCCGATACAGTAAACAGCAGGCTACTCAAGGACACAAGAAACATCGGGAGTGGCACCTACCGAAGCATTCTCCTGCGGCCTGTCTCCGTGGCCTGAACAGTCCTACAGGCGCGCTTGGTGAAGCAGTTGCCGTCTGCTTCGCGGACCTCCATGCGGCAAAAGCTAAACTAGCCCCCCTTTTTCAAGAGGGCGCACTTGAGGCTGCTACGGAGGCCTCTGCTGTCGTTCTTAATGACGAAGCAGCACCACAACTGACGAATCCTGCAGGTGGTCAATGCAGCTATCTGCAACCCTTACATAATTCCACAGAGACTCTCACAGGAATAGCAAGTGCACTAAGGTCATGGACAAAGGCGACGGAAGCCACTTTGGAAGAAACAAGAACATCAGGGAGAATAATAGCAACGGCAGTAACAACTGCTGTTACAACAGCAGTGGTAGCCACGAAAGCAGCAATCGCGGCAGCCAAATCAGCCTTGAAGCGTGCTCTTGTTTGGGGTGGAAGTGGTGCCGATGCCGTTGGCGGTCTTGTTTCCTCTGCTACTGTTGATGCAGTGATGTGGCTGCCCTCGCCTGTCTCAGGTATTTGGAGACGTACTGCGTCACCTGGCCAGCTAGTTTTCAAGGCTGGCGACAGAGCCTCCTCTACAGTTAGAGCAACTGCATCGATATCAAATATCCCAGCATCAAGGATTGTGGCACCTAAGGAGAGGTTTGCAGCGTGCCCTCAGAGGGCTGCTGTGTCTTCAGGGCAGTGGCGGAGGAGCGCGTCGACCCCCAGTACAACGCTTAGAGGGTCAGCACTGATACTACAACCGCTGTGGCAAGCGCTGGCAGCACTGGAGGCACCAGCACATAGAAAATGGGGTGCTTCATGCCGCCTTGTGAAGCGGCAGGCGCGATGGTTTTTTGTCTCACTGCAACAGTTGCTGCGTCTGCCAGTTTTGTGGGAAACTCCATGCTATGTCGGACTTGGCACGTCTACACCTCCTATCGAGTGGGAGGGCAGCAGGTGTACCATCAGCAGGAGCTGCAGGAGCAGGGGAAGTGGCCGCCAGAGGGCCGGTAGCGGCTGCACGGGTAGCCTTTGGACAACCCAAGAAGTGGTCCGGCCAAGGGGATCGACATCTACATGCCACTTATCCCCTGGGGAAAACACAGCTGGTTTGAGTTCAAAGAAAGGGCGGGCTAGTTTGCTTGACGCGGGCCTTTTGCTGCCAACGTCCCACCAACGGAAACAAAAGCAGGTGTACTTGGCCGAGAAGCAAATACTGCATCATCATCTGCAGGTAGGGTCTCTCCGTTCCCCTGTTGAATTTGCTGCCCCGTCCTCCCCTCCAAGTGTTGCGTCCCAAGGCCATGTTGCATCGGCTCATTTCCGAAGTGGTACTCTCCCAGTCGTACCATTCACAGGCATAGATTATGGCTCTAAGCGAAGTGAAGGGAACTCAGGGAGGGGAGGCCCCTGTAGACAGCCTTTTCATGCTGGTGGAGCAACTCGGGCAGCAGTAGCAGGAGCAGAAGCAGCTGCTGCAACTGCTTTGTGGGGCACCGGTATTTCTCGACAGCGACGTATGGGCAGCCCCTGCCGTCACCTACACGTTTCATATCAAACAGAGAACGAAGAAAAGATATCAACATACGCATCGTTGCAAACGATCAGCTGGGAGCGCACCACAGGATCGAAGCCCGCAGGATTCTTGCAGGATAGCAACGATCAAACATTCTGATGAGACAGCATATGGTTCATACCAGAGTCCACCTTGATAAACTCTGGTAAGGTCCCTATGGTGTCTCCTCAGTTAGAACGCACCAAAGCTTGTCTATGATGGGCCAGAGGTCATCGTGATGAACTCTGGTTCATCATAGACAAGCTTTGGCGCATTCCCAAGTATGGGATGGAAAATTTCTAGTGAAATCTCACAGCAGGGCAGCTGCTCACCCATTAGACCTCGTTGTACTGGAGTTGAGAGCATCTAAGGCTCGGCCCTTCTTTCTGAGAACGGGTAGGTCTCACTGCGGCAGTGTTGGCTAATACCTATATATAGCCTTGTCTCGTTTTCTCGGCATACTGTCAACTCTTCGTGACATGTCTTGAGTAAGCTCATCCACATGCAAACATCCAGCAGTTCGCGTTGACCAGCCATATACAGATTTTTCGCGTAAACAAGTTTTGTAAGCGCGAGCATTTAAAATTGTACAGCACCCACCTCTTTGTTCAGAAGAATGCAGTTGCTGTCTTCAAATGAAATGGAAGGAGCATCCAGCGTGGTGACGGCTAGTGCTTCGAATATGGAAGTAGGAATTAAAACAATCATCTGTGCAGTTTGTAGGAGCGGAGGTGTGGTAGTTTAACGAACTCGGTAATTGACTGAACGTTTCAGAACACGGACGCAGCCTGCCCATTTCTAGCATTTGTCAGTTTCTTCAAGTGTGCACTAGGTTTCTGATTTCTCCTGTTGATGAGCAAGGGCCAATTAGACTTGATGTCCAGCAGGTGGCGTAGCGGCCTGCAAATATGGAGCAGTTGGAATTAGATATGCTTAGGGAGTTACCACAATGTCAGGTGTAGCACTTGCAATTACTTTGCAAAAAATCAATTATTCAGTTTGGATAAGGGAACGTCGGCGAGGTGGGTAGCCAAGAGGTGCATGTGGTAGCGAATGATTGTGGCAAATCGTCATTTTCCACTGGAGCATGTGTGCTTAAATCATCTGATCCCCTTCAGCTAGCAACGGTGCCATTCGTACATTTTCCTTTTAGAAGAGGCTGCAATGCTTGATTACGCCATTACATAGATCTCAACTCCACATTAACTTTCTTAACCTAACCTTCGGGTAATATCGTTCGAGAAGCCCACGGTGCTCACTCACCAACGAGTCAAGGGTATATATGCTTTCACCACCTCCCCTCTCCGAGCACTGAAGTGGGAATTTACACAAGATCCAAGGCGACGATCGTTCCGAGACATCATAACAAACAAGCCGTGGACCGCTAAGGGTCCGTCAGCCCTAGGCTACTGGGTCCGCTGCGCAGGGTGACAGCCAGACCTCATCGTTGGGGAGATGTGGGGATAGACACTTAACTAGATCTTCTTTTCCTCTTGAAAGAGGCACGAATTGCCATTCAGGAAGTTCCCTTCTGCGCATCACAAGAGCTTCGGCAGGAGCAGCCACCGCCGCGTTGAGTGACCCTGCTAAGCCCCCCTTTCAAAGGCACTCTCTCCACCTGTGTCCTCAACTGGCCAGCTCACAATCCCTTGGCGTCCGTAAAAGTTTTAGTAGGTCGAAGCAATACAGTTTACTTTAATATAGAGTATCCTTCCCCCGCGACTGCCCGAGGATGTTACGCAGAGGCTCAGGAGTACCGCTTGACCTGGGATCATGGCAAGCTCCCCGTTTCTACATCTATGAGGCAGGCGAGGTTACAGGTGTTCCTAAAGACTTGCTGTGCATAAAAGAGTGCGCATGGGGACCGGCTGCAGCTCAGGTGGGCCCTGCCCCAGTTTTTCTAGGGAAGCATCTCGAGCTCCAGGCGACACAGGCAAACAGAACCCCCCTGCGAGGGCGCAAGACGATCGAACTTGGGGCTGGTGAGTTCCGCTACGTGGCAGAACAATATGGTATTAACGGCTATAGCCTCACGTGTCGGTTACTGTGACCACGCCCGGCCAGATGTTCCAGCACATCGACAGGAATCCCTTCATGCAGGAAAACTAGCACGAGAATGCTGGCCTTCAGGTTGTGGGCTCGTATCTATGGTGGCTGCCCTTCTAGGGGCTGACGCCCATGCATGCGAAGACAGCGGACCCACTTTGGCTCTGTTGCAGCATAACGTTGCTACGTTTAACTCCGAGTTCACCAGGTGTTCTCCGGTATAGTTCGCCTGCCATCAAGAATCCCTCTGTTTTCACTGAGGTCTCCGCTCCGGCTGTAATTGGTGCATCATGCGCAGCAACAACCATAGTCGGATTGTCTGATCCTGGGCTACTAATCCCGTTGCTATTTTTGCTTCTGCCGTTGCAGATCCGAGCCTGCGAATTCCCAACTTGTGACAATTTACGGAACCATTTTGACATTCTCTTTGTAACTGACCTCCTAAACAGCCCCAGCGCTAGGATTAAGACTCTACAGTGTCTCCTACATCTCCTTGGCCCGAAGACGGTTAGCCCGAAGGGAGCATATGCGCCAAATGCGCACCAGTTCCTAAGCACAGGCAGCATAGTGATCTGCTGTATTTATGGGAAAACTGCCTTTTTTTATGCGCTATGCCTATGCGTTGCTGCCAATCGGGAGTAGATGTGCAGCACCAGGCCGTCCAATTGTCTCGTATTCCCTGTCTGTCTCATCTGCATCTAGGAATGCATTGTAGTTCACACCTGGCGAAGTGCTGAGGTGGAGAAGATCTTTTTCGAGGCTCTTGGGCGATGTCTTCTTGTTAGCCGGCTCGATGGGCAACGAGACATTCAAAAACGATGCATACAAGCCATCAGCCGCTCCATTGCTGACAGTGCCAGAGACATTCACGAAGCGACAGATGAGGTCCCGAACCCTATATCTTAAACTTCAGTCTGTGATCCATCCATATACTAACCATGCTGCATACTTCCAAGCAACTAGAACATATCGAAAGAAGCATTAACCTAAAAGCGTACACTTCAAACCGACCCCCTGCCAACGTAGTGCATTCCAAAAAAAATTAAGCGACTCCCTGCAGTTAATTGTTGAAGCGTTGATTTAGGAATATATGGAAGTGACTGCTGGGATATTCTGGTTCCTTACTGTCGATAGGATGGATCTATTGATATATTCTCTGTCAAACCGCCTGACGATGTCAGTGAAAGTGTCTGGAGGTCCAAGGTGAAAGGTCTGTTGGTACAACTGCTGGGAGAAGAAGCTAAGCAAAAATGTAGGCAAGCAGAAAGCCTCTCACATCGTATGGTGCCCATAAAGTGAATCGTGGAGGCTGGCTCCATATTACGTAGGTTCCCTGTCCCTACGGCTGAGGTTGTTGATTTTGTGCCTTACTACCCGGTAGGCCTTGAAAACGGGAACTCTGACGTCAACCCCTCGCCGATAGAAGCAACAGGAGCAACGGTCCGAGAAGCCGCTGCCCTCTGGTCAGAAAAGGAGGACAATGACGGGAACACTGCATCTCTCAGCAGCTACAGCACTCTTTCGAGCGTGCGAGGAGGGGTCCAGCTTGCACCGTTTCGATCTTCATCCGAGGTTCTCACCAACGCAGAGCAGCAAGCCCCTGGAGAAGGGATTCAACAGAAGTTGGAGAGCCTGTCCCGGAGCGAAACTGCGGAATCACGCCCTGCAACGGTTTTAGATCCAGCAACAAGATCCGGTACAAATGCATCATCAAGGCCCGGACTGCTACGTAATCTGTCGCAGCCTGTGCTACATCACCTGCCCCTCGAACACACTAATACAGCAGCAAAACCAAAGTCGTCAAATACAGCCCGAAACGGAGCACCAGCAGCCACAGTTTCTTCGCTTGAGCCCGCGCCTTCTGCTGATGGAAAACAGAAGCGGCCGATGACGAGCACAACAGCAAAAGCCGATGCAAGTGGTGGGGGGCCACGCATGCGGCAACGCATGCTCGTTAATAATGATGAAAGTCCTAACAAGAGAAAACTATCGGCGACGGCTTCAAATGGGTCCATATCGCTTCGTTCTACGAAGGGCCGGGGAAGCCCCTGTCCAGCATCCCCGTTTCAAACACTACAAGCGACAGCAGCAGCTGCAGTGAAGCCCACAGCACCAGTGCAGGGGAAGATACTGCCTAGCAAGCTCAAATCTACGCCCCCGGAATGCAACGGTGAAAAGCAGTACACCTCCTCTGCAACAGCTTCAAAGACAGCAGGAAGAGCAGCAGCATTTCAACGGGCAACCACAGCACGGTTGAATTCTACGGCGACGGGGACAGCAAATCTTAGGAAGAATTCAGCAGATAAGACTTCAGCGGACGGCACAACTGATCCACTGGAACCAGCAATAGTGAGAGGGGCAACAACAGAATCAGTAGTTGCAGCAAAATCTGCAGTGCAAAAAGTCTCAAAGCCAGCACGGCCACCCACAAGTTTACCACCAACACAGCAATACCATAAGCGCCTTGGGCCCCTGACTCCTGGTTGGGGTGCTCCTAACGTTCAACCGAGGCGACCAACAGCAGAAGGATCACCAACAGCTACCCAGGAGGCCACTGCTGCTTATACCCATCTCCGTTCTGGGAGGAAGAGCTCGCTTGTAAATGCAACAAATACACCTGGAGCAACAGCAACAGCTGCATCAACAACCGCAGCAGCTGCAACTGCACTACACCAACAGTTAACACCGGGGTCTGCCTTTGCATTGGATAGATGCACTGCACCCCGAACGGGAGGGTCGCACCCAATGCTGAAGGCCGCTTCTGTTGCTGCCGCAGGGCCCACCTCGCGGTTAGTGTCAGGAGCTGGGTCAGGGGTGAGCCAGTATCCTTCTATTTCGAGTGGAGGCTCTCCTAGGATTTCCAGTGCAACAGTGGCGGCCCCTAGGCCCGTAGTTGGGCCAACGCAAGCTGATAATGCTGTTGCCGGGAGCGCTAAAACAACTCCTGCAGTGGCCTACCAGCCAACATCTGCTACGGGAGGGGAAGCGAAAGCAGCTGCGGTTGCAACAGAGGCCCGAGAAAAGCCTGACAAACCTCGGGGTCCTGTGGAAGCAAAACGCAGTGCGGTATCTGGAGGATCCAACACAGCAACTGGACCGCTGGGAGCCAGATTGGTGTCTCGCCTTTCTGGTCTTTTCAAGAGGTCCGGAAGTAAGGAAACCGATAATAAGTTGAGACGCCTACGGGGTCTTTGAATGATCAGGATTCAACGCACAGCACAAGTAAACAATAACAAGAAATGCATGTGCCTTTGTGGTGGCGAGAGGCTTTCATATCCAGGAGGCGCCGACGCGCAGCCGAATTCCTCGTTCCGTCTTCCCCAACCTGAAAGTCACGGTTGGCCTTTAGCGGCTTCGCCAAGCCCGTGTCGTGATTCTTAAATGTGCCTTTGTCCGACTGAAATGTATGAAAATCATTAGGCCTTTTCTCTGTCCTAGAATTGCGAGAAGTCCCTTCTATACGCCCTTAACTTCCGCTGAACTCGACTCAACAACTGCTTCTGTTGAGGACACGGGCATTGCTGCTGCTGCTGCAGGCGCATGCGCTCGGTGTCATGCGATAATTTGGCGAGCTATGTATCTCGACAGACATACTGCTGGGTCCCCTAAGGGATTCATATGGGCCCCCCGTCGTTCCCCCATGGGCTCCATATGGGCCCTCTTCTGCATAGGTGTATGCTGTTGGGTGTTGACTCCTCATTGGAGCTCGAACCCTGGACCTCTTGCCTATTATCTGTCCGCCTGAACCTCCCATCTAGGGGGCTGCATGACCCCTCCCTATTCTGCATACCCCTTTGTCATGGACGCTGCGCATGGGGGCCTCCTTGCTGCAGCTTCTCCTGCTGCGCATGGGCTCTCTATGTGTTACAGGGAATTGAACGGCAGTTCTCCAGTCTCCCATTTGCTGTTTCTAACTTCTCCTCCATAATCACCTGCTATACTATAAGTGACAACAGCACGCTGCGGGCGGCTAGCACCGCGTGGGGCCCCCCAACACTCTGGGGGTCCCACCAATTTCGCTTATCTTGTTGGCCCGCGTTTCCGTGCCATCTTCCTATCATTTGCGTTCTATTATAATTGGTATGTTTATGCCGGTGTTGTTGGTGTGAACCTCATTGGTTATAATATTGCATTAGTAGTATGGGCAATGGGTGTTTTCCTAGGATGGGGTTGTTGGTGGCTAGAAGTCTATCATATCTATCGTGTCTTCCTAATCTCTTCTTTAATATTCATATTATTCTCTTTTATCTATAATATAATTAGGACTAAATAATTAATTATTTTCTCCCTTTATTCCCCGCTTTTTTCCTTATATAGTGTTTTTCTCTCATATAGTCCCTTTATCCTGCTCATTAGTGTTTTTTTTCTTAATATAATGTTTTAATGTTATTCTGTATTATAGAGGTAATTAAGGAGCTATGCTTGCTTTGTGTTGAGGCAACAGCAGCAGCATTTGCTGCTGCTGCTGCTGCCGTCGCTCCTGCTGTTGTTGCTGCTGTTGCTGTTGCTGGTGCTGCTGCTGCTATTGCAGCAGGGGCAGGCCGTCTCTTCCCTTGTGTCTCGGCTGCTTCACTGCATCCTCCCGGCATGCAGCACCTCTGCTTCTGTAGATTTTCTGCTGCTGTTATTTGCTGCTGCCTTTATAACAGTTTATTCCTCCTCATTGTATATTTGCCATTAATGTCCATTAATGCCCCTTCTTGCATCTCTATTACAATTATTATATATATATATATATATATATA